AAAGAACAGTTTAAAATTAATGTAATATAGTATTGGCCATACTATATGATGTATTGCTTGTCTTTGTTTAATAATACAGAAGACAAAGACCTTAAAAAATAATCGCATATCGCATCGCAATCGCAATATTGGGGCAAAAAATCGCAATTAGATTATTTTCCATAATCGTTCAGCCCTACCTTACAGTATAGAGTTCTTGGTGAAAGTGGGGAGAAAGAACTCCATTTAGACAGGAAGACATTTTGACAGAACCAGTGCAGTAGTGGAATATGGATATTTGGGAAGTAAAAGAAATGAAACAAGCATCCCACTGGTCATGTAGCTATTTTTGAGTGCCCTTATTTTATTCTTGGATCTACTACAGTAGCTTAGCATGAATCACACAGTTTAAAATAATCCTTATTGACCTGGGACTAGGCCTTAGCCCAACCTCTGTCCGAAACAAAGCATTTTAGTAACAGTACTTTCTCCCAGGCCAACTTTCTTGTGACTGGCTGCTCTTCCAAACAAAAGGTTTAAAGAGCAGGTGGGTGGGGCTTCTGTGCTCAGAGTCAGACTTGGTTGTTTTGGATTCCATGGAAACCATGCATTCCATGACACAAATTAAGGAAAACTATTAAAGTTTTATACATACACACACACACACACACACACAAACACATATATATATATGTGTGTGTATATATACATATATATCATTTTTAGCATTTTGAGACGTCAAAATTCTGATGCAATTCAGTTTAAAAAGGGCACTCTATTCAGTAAGAAGCCCTGCCGCTTTTACTTGCTTGTATTCATGCTGTGAAGAAGAAAAAGGTATTGAACCAAGCCTAACACTAGCCATCACCAGCACTAGAAAAGTGGAGCCATCAATACCGAGACATCATGGATTCTAAGCTGCTGCCACTTTTCGCAGTAAGGCTGAAAAGCAGAATATGACATAGTTAAGAAATAATTTTCTGGATTTAACATATTTAAATTTAAACAAGCTTCATTTTTTTTGCCTCCGAAGTTCAAAGCTTGTTTCCTCCTCTGTGAGAGAAGAAGCTGTTGGATGCACTGTGATTTATTTTGTGACTAAGTTGAAAAGTAGATGTGACAGTCTTCTATCCTGAGCTCCATCCTTGACAGCAGCAGAGTGAAATAATCCCCAGTATCCACTGTGCCTGGCCCCAGGTTTGTACCAAATTAGTCTAAGTTAATCTCATTAAGTGTATAACATAAATTTAAAAAATACGTCAATGCAAAGATGTTGAAATATATTATTACCCGGCAGTTTTTTCGCACTTGGAGAGGGAAAGACTAACAAATGCTTAAAAAAGGTACTGTTTTGGGGATTTATTTATTTTATTTTTATTTTTTTAACAGTCCATAAATTTAAGCTTTCACCCTTACGGGGCAGCATTTTGCCAGCAATGTAGTGAGATGCATACTGGATTTAACATTTCATACTTCTTTTAGGTTTCCACCCGTTACCTCAAGCCACTTTGCCGGGATCATCGTTGAACTTGAAGTGGCTCATTGCACCATCTTGTGGTATTACATCAAAGTACAGCCTGGCCCTGTTCAGTTTCAGTTGATTTCTCAGCAACATCATACACAGATTTTTTTCAACAGGTTCTCATCCCAACACATACCGACGCTATGTGACAAATCGTCAGTATGTTACGTGTTCGAAGGCATGAGAGCCATTTATACGTGTAAATGTGTTTTATGTTCTGATTGTGAATAACTTTGGAAAACACCGTCTGATAGGCTTAAGGTTATGGTTAAGGTTGGGGTTAGGGCTGGAATGGACGGCTGGAGCATGTGTTACTGCCGTGAGTGGCATTCTATTGGATTCAACTGAGAATTCCGAGCATGTTATAAAGACGCCGAAGGGTACCTTTCTCGTTACTATGAGACGCCTCAGGACGTGACAAATCGTCGGTATGTTACGTAATGGGAATGAGAATGCTCTGATTTTTTTTTGGGACATAAAGTCAAGGTGATTGTTTCTTCACAATCCTTTGATAGCTTTAGCTATTTTTAAAAGGTTTTAAACTATTTTTTAACTTTTTTAAAAATTAATATGTTTTACTGTTGCAACGCGCGTTGCATCTTCTTATCTGGTGCGCGTCTTTTATTTTGACAGCGAATGCGCACCTGCGGACCACGTATGTGCACCCCTGCATATAACATGTGTCCAATATATTAGGATCAAATTTATTTAGTTTTATAGGGGAGACATATGCTCCTCCTTGAATCGCTACCTTATCGTGGTGGAGGGGTTTGTGTGTCCCAGGGATCCCAGGGGCTATGTTGTC